GGGCTCAAAAGTGACAATATAATATTTAAAAAAAAAATCTATTTCACATATATGCTGTCCTTTTGAACCATCTATTCATCCAAAAATCATCATTAATATTAAGCAGCGGAACTGTTTTTGACATTGATAAATGTTTATTTTTTTACTATATGTTTTTACCATATTTTAATCAAATAAATGTAGCCTTGATGAGTATGAGTCTTCAATAAACAATAAAAAATAATCTTACCAGCCACAAACGTTTGAACAGTAGTATATGTTTGGCAAAATATTGTTACAACAGCAATTGTTAATAGCAGACTAGAAAACCTTTTTTTTTACTTGCTATCAATAAGGTAGCTAGCAAAATGTACTATACATTTATATTAGAAATATATTGTTGTTGTTTTATTGTTGTAAGCGTTTGGTTTGAATCACTATTCCTCTCATAAACAATGTCGCTGTTTTTGTTTATTGTATTTCATCCCTTTTTTCCCCCTTTCATTCTGGCTCTGCCACAACAAAGAATTTGCACGGCAGCACTTCCATAACACAGAGCAGGGAACTCAGTGTATCAACTGCTAACGTATATGTTACTTTGTACAGGGGTAAACGAAAGTCAAACTCTGCACATTTAACTTCTGTCAATGTAAAATGTAAATCTCAGCTGCATGGTTAATGGAACATGCCATATATGCCACTGCAAGATGATCACTTTGATCTGAAATGCATGACATAAGAGGTTTCCATGCAATGACATTGCACAAATACATTAAGTCTATTCAAAGCACTCTGAATTTGATCTTTAATGGCGTTTAATTGTATTGTTGGTAACCAAAATCATATGAAGCTGTATTGGGTGTACTTGTGTAACTCACCTATAGGGACGAGTGGATTCTCTTTGGTCTTCCGGATGAATTTGTCTTTAAAATTCTCCTCCTTCGCCCTGGGCAGCGGGGTAAATCCCTCGATAACCGGAGGATGAGACAAATCAAACACGACGGGTGGAAGATCTGCTTTGGTCGGTTGATCTTGGCCAACCGGGGTCGTCGCAGTCGCCATGCTTAGAACTTCTTCTTCTCCTTCTTCTTTCTTGGCTTTTGTAACTTGTAATTATTGCATATCGCCACCTACTGTACATGAGTGTACAGGGGGGAGGGGGTTACACACAAAGGGTTATCTTTTCGTTTCTAAATTCTTATTATTAATCCAGTATTTTCAAGAAATATAAACAAAGCTTTGAGTCTATTTCTTTCCATCCCTTGTTCTCTAAGAATATCTTCAATGTTCTTCTTCCATTTCCTGCCATTTCTGCCTGTATTCATGGTATTTATTGCATCTAAACAAGACATGTTCTACATCTTCCTTGGTTTGACATCTTGTACATAATCCATTACTCTTCCCTGTTGTCTGCAATGTATCATTCAATCCAGTATGACCTAATCTCAGCCTTGAGTATACTACTTCTTAGAACTTCTGTTAACAGGAAGTGGAATAAACAGATAGAACAGGGCATTTCCGCCAGCTGTGCATCACATGACATAACTGGTGTTTATGTTTTAATTTTAGACACTTTTTGTGTAATATCTTTTTTCTAATATCACAGTACATCATGTGCTTTACCCGCAATATTATAGCATAGATAATTGAATGAATTATGGTTACTAGCTGCACTTAATGTTCAATTAAAATGACAAGAACACCTTTTATTGTTTATTTGTATTATAAATTAATATTTTTCTTTGAAAAAACAAATGAAGGTAGAAGATACGCCACACGACTCCTGCGCAGCAGGCAGCGCAAAAAAAGAAAGCGTTTGTTCAACGTTTTACGCATTGGTCACGTCAGCACGCTTTAAACGTCATCGCGTTTTGTTAAGGCTCGGCGAGGTAAAATGGCGGCGCCAGAAGAACAGGAATTATCTCAGGCTCAAACTGAAAAACTCCTTCAGTTTCAGGTACCAATTAGATTGTCTGGTTAACACATACTGATTGGATCTTTTATAGACTTACTTATCAGAAAAATAGTGTTCGCGGTGTCCAGCTCAGCTGCTTTAAGTATAAATGACCAGTCAGCGAGCTAACTGCCGTTATGATCGTTATTTTTTACTCAGCCGACACCAGCTTCAGTTTATCTAATAAATACAGACCTAATCTGAATAATATCCTTTTGATTTATGCCCACATAAAGACTTTCTCGTGTATACAAGTGTCTTTTGTTTTAGTTGAAATGGCAGCTGTCAGTTAGGCAGCGAGACATTGGTTGTGTCTCAAAATCTAGAGAGCTGCCTACCTAGACAGCAGATTTGGTCAGAGGAAAGTGCGCCTATGATGGCCAAAGTGCTGTCTAGTTAGGTAGCATTCCAGGTTTTTTGACGGACGGAGGAAGAACAGCTAGTCGTCCTGAACGCTACGTAAAATGCCATCTAGATAGACAGTTTACTAGGTTTTGAGACAGTGCTAATCTGCCCCCCAGTCTGCCAATACCTCAACTTTTAAACTTGCTGCATTTAGGGGATTTTTTGTCTTGTTTTAAACTGGTAGCAGCAATCACTGGATAAGTTTACTTGTTCATCATCTACTTCTGAGTCATAGTCAGAGTAATATAAAAGAAACATGCCCTTGAATAATGACTGATCTCGAAAACACTCACTTTATCTATAATTTTATAAACACTGCCACCCAAATGTTTCATTCATTAGCAAAGCTTGTCACATATTTAGTAAACACATCTGTCATGCAACAGTAACTTACGACAATAGATTTCAGCTCTTTTCCTTTGTTTGCAAATAACGTGAGATTTGTTCTTCTTATTCAGGACCTGACAGGCTTGGAATCAATGGACCAATGTCGGCGCACATTAGAACAACACAATTGGAACATTGAGGTGAGAGCTGGTAAACCAGATGAATGGATCCTTTTATTCTTGTATTGTCAGTTTAACCTTTTTGTATTAGGAACATTATTCAAATTATTGGGATTAATGGAAATCTTTTTACAGGCCGCAGTACAAGACAGACTAAATGAGCAAGAAGGAGTTCCGAGTGTCTTCAACCTGCCGCCCACCAGACCGTTACAGGTCAACACAACAGACCACAGAGTGTATAGCTATATTGTCTCAAGGCCACAGCCTAGAGTAAGAGTCTTTTGGTTTTTATGTTCTGTGTTCTGTTTTTTTCCTTCATTCCCAGTGCTCATATCTTTGTACTAGTGTTTTCAATAATTATAAATACTTAAAACATTTTTATCTAGCTGTGGTAAATACTAAAATGCCAAGGAAAGATTCTGGTTCCGACCTGCTATGACATGCAGACGGTTCAGGGTAATACCCTAGTAAAACAGCGGCGCTATGACAGATATTGCAACATGGTCCTCTATAAATATTAAATAAACTGCTTATATAAATGTTTTTTTTCTCTTTTACAGGGCTTATTAGGGTGGAGTTACTACTTGATAATACTTCCCTTCAGGTTTACGTATTATACACTTCTGGACATATTCAGGTATTAAAGCAGTTAAACTAATAATCTAATATAGACTTGTTATATTTCACACTACAGTAGTAACTAGTCTTTCCACTGATGTTTCTTCCTCTCTCGAATTCTTCAGATTCGCCCTGAGATTCATTCGACCAGATCCAAGGGGTCGTGTCACAGATCCTGTTGGAGATGTCATGTCCTTTATTCATAGTTTTGAGGAGAAATATGGTCGATCACATCCTGTATTCTACCAGGGAACATATAGTCAGGTATGCTAATATAGAAAACAAATCAAATTAAAGGAACAAAATGAACTAAAGTATCAAATAAAAGATTGAGAACATTTAACTTTTGCATGTATTTGACCCATTTACCAGGCAGACATCTGAAACATCTTGCGTTAAAGGGGTCATATGATGCCAAACAAAGTAGTTTCGCTTTCACAACGAGAAACAGCGTCACACATGGCGGGCTTGAGTGAGTGGAGGCCTAGAGTGAGCAGAGGCCGGCTTGAGTGAGCGGCGCGGCGGGCGGGCTTGCGGCAACCACATGTGACGACCCAGGGCTGGACTCTG